TTATTATTATTATTATTATTATTATTATTCTTAATATTATTATTATTATTATTGTTATCGTTATTATCGTGATTCATTAATACGATTTCCCTTTATCGGGTGTTACGCTCGATTAGTTCGACTTTATTCGTTCTCGTCGTCTCTGGTCACCGATATTGCGCGTTCTAAGGTCGCCGCAAGTTTCTCCGATCGGACGTGCAAAGCTCGTATACGAGGTTGTCGGTGTATTCTACGTCGATGATCCGTTGGGTCGGATAGGGACTTGGAGTACGGGGCCGATAACGTCCTTCAGCATTAGCCGGTTCAACGCGAGAGCGCAAACCTCCACCGACCCCGTGTGACCTATGGCCGCGCGTATAACCATCGTTATCGCGTATTCTCTCTTTCGTCTACCGTTTCTCCCGTTATTCCACCGAGTTAGTTACGTCTACCCGCTATTGCTATCGTTATTATCGTGATACGGTTACAGAACGTATTACTATCGTTATCGAATACTATCGGCTAAATTCGTTTCGGCTACTGTCGAAATAAGAAAACGCGTCGCGGTTTACGAACAACACGCGCGCGTGTCTATCGATTCTACTACCGCTACGGGAAACCTCGACGCGGTGCGATCTCGATATCCCTCGCGAGGATGTCGCCTTCCTCCGAGACCTGGCAATCTCTCGGTCCTTTGCTCGCGCGTCCAGCGTGCTCCAAAAAGATCCATAGAAATCGCGCGACCGTCGGCAAGGAAACGAGCACGCGTTCCTCTCGCAACTTTCTCTCTCTCTCTCTCTCTCTCTCTCTCTCTCTCTCGCTCTCGCTCTGATTTTTCGGATTCTCTCCGAGTCTCGGCATCGCGCATCGCCCGTTCGATCGAGCAGAAACGTTTCGACGAGAAGCGATCCGAAAGCGCGCCTCTGGCTCGTGGAGCTGGACGAAATTACGGGGAATCGCCGACTATCCGGATATCGATCTCGATATTACGTACGCGCGGGCAAAAGTGCGGACCGCGAGATTCGAGAAGCGTTGCGCTCCTCGCTCGAACGAGAGGAAAGTTTGGCGCGAAGGAGAACGCGTTACGTTTCCCGACGCTGTTTACCAGCGACCAGACACGCGAGGTAATAAAGAACGAAACCGAAACCGAAGCAAACGATCCCGTACGAGATCGTCAGCATTTCCCACGCGTTCCCGACGCGTCCCTCTCTAGCACGGTACACGCGAATCTTCCAACTACGCGACCATTCGACGTTTCGTGTCCGAATTACCGTGTACCATACAATTACGCGATTAGCAGTATCACCGTTACTTTATTATAATTAGTGTTACAAAAGCTTGATTATTTGGATCGGACTGTAGCGATATATTCACAAGACTATCGTCGTGGAAAATAAAAATTCAACGTTTACATTACAATTACTCACTGCCCTCTCTCGATCGTCGACAACTCGATTCGCAATAAACGGTAATAAATACATTAATCTTTATAATAATAATAATAATAATAATTATTA